AGTTCGTTTGGTTACTGAATCTAGTCCGATGTCGATAATGCCTCTGTATGCCAAAATGTTTGAAAATCCAAATTAGTCAGGATTGTCTTTATCTGTAGCACTAAGGCACCGGAAGCTAAGCCATTTGAACTGATGACTTGTTGCCGTAAAACCACGTTCAAATTTGCTGTGTAGGTTACTAGCAGGGAAAAGCAGGAAGGCTTTCCGGCTATGAGAAGGGGATGTGCCGAAGTGATCAGCTTCGAGTTCAATAAATTGCTTGATAAGGCGAACCATGAGGTCTCTTGCATGGTTTTAGTGTGTGTACTGTTGGTGGCTAACTGCACCAGTACAAAATGGAGACTTTACAATTGGACGGCATTGGAAGGCATATCTGGATGTTCAGATAGCTGACTCATATCCCTGTACCATTGGGATGCTCCAAGTCACATTCATGGGGCCATTTCTATCCACCTAGACACAATAACTCTGCTGGTTTTGTAGCCATTTGGCTTGCTTGGAGCTTGCCTGATCAGTTTGAGTGCGACTGATGCTCCCGACGACTGCAACGTATTTCACCATGAATTCAGTCGCCTCAATGTAGTCTAGATATACCTATATGCTAAGCTACCCAGTAAACTCGTTACGTGTTAGCCTGTGGAATGACGGTGGTGGGTGTTCGTATACTCTACCCGGTAAAACACTGCATCTATACCTTCGGTGAAAGATCAAGATATATTCTCAAGCGGCAACTCGAAGTATGGGGACAACACCAACAAATATATGGAAATGTACTAAACATTTTTTGGCGTTCAAACACTGATTCTGCACTTAGTCTGAAGAAGTTGTCGCTAGCCTATTCTCTTCCGTCGTCAGACGAATGCTGGAGTATGGCTCACTATCTTGTTATCCTATGAAAAGTTTCCAGGTAAAAAGTTGGAATGTGTTCATTATGTACCTACCAGGCGCATCCATAATTTATTGGATATTTTGGACAAAATATACAACAGTGAAACTATACACTCTGTTACATCTTCGGTTTCTATTGAGCTTAACGACACATCTACGTGAATTATCTATGCTGCTGTCGCTTTTAAAAGTGCACGCACCAAACTGAAATCGTTGGCCCCGACACACGAATGTGGTACAGGACTTTAGGTGGCTAGCTCAATGAGTATGCTTCTTATGTGGAGTGGTGAAATATTAGGAAGCAACACGAGAAATTAGCTGAGATCAAATTGGTGTGGGTATTCAAGAAATTCCCAGGCGTCCACTTTGCAGATTGAAAAATTCGAGAGCTCGTCGCACCTGAATAGAATGTCGCACAGCAGAGCTGATTTAACCGTGGGTGAACATTAATGAAGTTAGTATGCTGGCAATAGAAAACAAGTGAGCAATTCATACTATTTTCATTATTTGGTGTTCAATGTTTAAATGTTTGTGTGACATTCCTTTGAATGTCGCACTTTCGGCGGTTCCCTCAAAATCTAACTAAAATATGTTTCTCTTTCCGGTGACTTTTACAGCGCCGAAAGAATGCTTTTGCATTCCAGCTTAACCTCTGTAAACATATAACTCAAATAAATAAACGTGAGATTGCAACGAAAGCTTTATGTTTATTGAATCACTTAGCTACTTTCTACATATAGATTTTGTGCAAAACCTGATGAAGAAACCGTTCCTTGTTTTGTGATTTATAACGGCCACGCAAATGACTTTGAAGACAATTTGGCTAAATTTTATCAAATAATCGCGCATTTTATTGGTAGCAAACAGCTCAGTGTCTTACATCAGAGTTGAGTTAGCTATTTGTTGATTATACTCAAATATTCAAAATAATCAATTGTGACTGATCTACTACTAACAAAATGCGAGGGCCTAAGCAGTCTCGTACTACTTTCGCGGCAAGAATTACAAAACCTAGAGTTTTATGCGTCATCACTTTAAGGGCCTACAGATGAAAGAGCAAAAATGTGATATATTAGCGGGAGATGTCTGTGGTGCGTTCGTGTATCATACACGGGCTTCGCTGACACGCGGCAATCCACAGTTGCATGTGGTTTGGGTATACCGCTAGGCCAGTTACACCTACTTGGATTCGCATGGTGACTCCCGGGTTACATGGCAGATGTGCACTCGTTTCAGGTATCGGTCAAAGTGATAACTTAGTAGCAGACAGCGATTGCCCTATTTGGCAGTGGTTTTAAATGGACTTGAATGATAGCGTACTATTAGTAAAAGGTTCAGTGTTGGTTAACACAGTTAGTGGTGAAAATTAAAACTGTTATTCTTATACCGATTTCTACGCATCCGTGTGGAATATAGATCCACTGAGAAAACTGCAATGCTATTTTACGATATCGCAGCTTATAAAGCTGATTATATGGAATCGTACGTGACCTCGAATCGTTGTTTGCTTGTAAGAAATCAGGGGAGAATACCATAGAATCTAAGAGAGGTTCTAGTTTAGTTAAACCAAAGAAAAACTAACTCAATGGGTTGCCTAGGCGACGGCAGTGGTAGGTTAGTTTCATGCAACACTGAATGTCGTGGCTTTTTAATTAAAATATCAACATGAAAACGAGCAGCCTCCAGAAAATCCAGCGGAATACTTCCAAGTCATATGCCTTTGCTAGTGAAAGTGTATTCGCAAACATTTGAAGTTCTTCGCTGAACGACATTATGAGACCATTAGCATTATGAGGTTATATTTTCACCACTTAAATGGCCTGCTCTGTGAGGACACAAGTATAAAATATGCGTCGTTGTGAACATGGATGGGGTAATCATCCCGAGTACTCTCTGCATACACCGAAGTATTGGGTTCCCCTTTTAATTTGGCAAAAGTTTTATGAGAAAATTTAGGTGATTCTGTGTAAGCATAATAATGCGCGTCCAGAATACTAGTCTGTAAACAAGGTGATCATTGTATTTTGCACTGGATGATAAGTTAAAAAGCGCACTCTGATATTGTTGGCAATCTTATTTTCTCATCGGGCTTTATGGTGGTTCAACGCAACGTGATTTCAGGCAATAGCAGTAGGAAATCCGACGAATTATCTGTTATTAGACAGCTTAGAAAACCAAGTATAGGCAAGGAGTAAGCATTAGTGTGTGGTACATTGCACAGGGCCTTAACTGAGCCGGAAAAGAACGCGAGCTCCTACTTCCGAATGACCCTAAACTGGGAAATTTCCTGTCCAAAATAACATTGGATAGACAATGTCAACTCGATTCTGCAGACACGAGGGTTTAATAGTTTTGCATTCTAGCTGTGTGTCGGAAAATTATCTCTTGTCTGTAGTATACTGTTATCTTATTCACGGGAATAAGTCACATTACCGAAATTAATGAGTGTGCAAGTGCTGAAAGGAATTGCAAGTTATTAGAAGATTTTGTTAGTTTGAATGCCCAGCATCATGTCATTTCAACCTTCAACAAAAATTCCTGTGCAACAACCACTCCTTAGTTTCTCAGGTTGTATGCGCAATTTTTTTGACCCTTCAAACAAGAAAAACAGTTGCTTAACAATTTAAAACCAATACACTGCTTGAATAATTGCTCTTAAATTGGAATGTTGTGTCTGTAAATTCCTTATATAACTATCCATTGACAAATAACACATCAGTTATCGTGAAAACATAATTATGCCTGCTTTTCGATACATATTACGGCATTTAGTTAGCTGACATCTTTTACTTTAAAATTTACTCATTCTTTTAAATAGAAATCTCTGGAAATAAAACTAACAATTCGCAAAGATTTATCTTTTCGAATAGTTCCTGGGTCATGAGTTAAAGGACCTAGGATCTAGAGTCTCCAAAACAAGGAGCTGTAATGAAAATAACGAGACTATAAGATTTACCTGATCACTTTCCAGGTCAGAAGTTTGAAAGCAACCGCAGTTCAGTTGTTCATGTGTAGTGCAAAGTGGCCATAATTCTGGTAAAACTACACCTTGTACGACACTTTAAAATCAACCCAGATTAAAACCTCAAATGCAGTTAACAAATGCTCAGGCCAGCGCAACCGTAGCCGAAAATAGCTGATAAATTGTTCTTTGTCAGTGGTATTAACTGTAGGATTGCTTCGAATATAAGTTCTACTTTGTTAGACTTTAAAATCTGCAGAGCTATACTCATCTACCTGCTTATGTATGGTGCACCTTAAACGGAAAGCTTGATATTCAGACAGCATGAAATAATTGTAATCTACCAGGGGCGCTCAGGCTATGTCCGTCTGATGAATCCAAACCAGGACAAAATCGCGGTCGTGGGGTTCGAGTGCTAGGATGAGCAACAATAACTATTTCCACACCAGCGAAGCTGTTTGTGCATATATTAGTTGTTTTCTTCTTTTTACAGCATACGATAAACCATTATATTATCTCAATATAACATTTTATAACATGATGAGATAATCAGGTTTACTGGAAGGAAAACATGAAGCGCGAATACATCGGCGAATATAAGAAATACTTATCTCAGTGTTGTTCTGTTTCTTGGGGTTTCGCAATACATTAATTAATGAATCACCCGAATTTTATGATGCGTTTTGATGTGCAGCTTAGGTAAACGCTTGTGCAATTAGGATAACTTCTGAGGCTTCATTTTCCTAGTTATGCACTACAAACTCAAATCGCTCCTAAATTTGACGTAAAATTTCTATTGAGTTATGTGCGAGTCTAATTTACTATGGATACTATTATCTTCCATCTTCTTGATCGTGTAAGATTTTATGCTGGCTGCAGAGTATGGCGATGGTGTCGAAAAGCCCACAAATTTGTACCAACTGCAAAAGAATCGCTACATTTGGGTCACATTTGTAGTTAGCTTCATTAAGCCTTTGTGCTGATTATAAATTTCCTTACTAATGCTACTGATAGAACAACAACGTATTTCGTCTACCATTAATAACAGGTTCCTTACAGGTGTGCTTACTGAAATGCATTGACTCATAATCTAATCGTATTTATATCAGAGTGTTAACTTATTTTGCATCCTCCCAACCCGACACCACAGATACTACGATGGTTCAAAAATGTCGACAATCTGTTCGTGGTGCTCACAGTACTTGCTGTCATTTTGGGATCGTCACTCGGTCTTTTAATCAAAGTTTTCGTGGATCCGTCCCCGAGAACTGTCTACCTTGTCTCCTTCCCCGGAGAGTTGCTGATGAACATGCTGAAAATGCTTATAATCCCACTTATTGTGTCCAGTCTAGTTGCAGGTAAGATGGATTTCTAAATTGCTAAATGTGATGGACAATAATAGCTTCAGCAACAGAAAAGCCATTAAATCCTTAGTGTTATATTTAAAGAGTGCGGTTAAACGTATATGTATATCATTGTATAAAATTTGTGGCTACTGCTCATATGCGCGCTATTATTTAGTTGCATCATCTCTATCCGTTGCAACCAAAATGTCTATTCTTTCGGGTAAGTCTCGTGTACACAGACTCGCTGTTACGCTCGTTTTCCCCTTGTATACTGGACCCCTTCTCCGACTGTCATATCAGTGGCATAGGTCTTATTAACCATATTTTGTCTACAACCTATTATGTACATGACGTGGCGCAGCATGTTCTTAGCGCTTCAAGCCGTAGACAGGTTTGGACTGTAATATTCGCGTCAATTCTGCGTATAATTTAGGGCCAAGAGAAGTTTGGCAGTTTGATTACTATCGCCCTCGACAAACGCCATAATTGGCCATCAAACACCGAAGGGCATGTGGCCGGAATGCAGCAATGATTACCGTGAAATGAAAGACAACCCATAAAAATAATTTCAGCCAATGTAGTGAACTTTACCTTTTAATGCGGAACTTACCGGACCCAGCTATTTTTAGGTAAGAAGCAATATAAAAAATAGTTACCATCACTGGGTCTGTTGTCGTCCGGTACCAGATGAGCCCGTCTTAAATAATTATTTTGTCGTGACCGACTGAAATAATCTAACCTGGCGCTTTGTAGTCAGCTTTTCATTGAAATTATCCCCATAAAACCACTTCGGCTCCAAATAGAAGCAAGAACTTTGTGACCATTTAGCGACAGTTATCACTTTGATATAAACTTGTATAGTGGCCAGTTCCTTCTAGTTTCTAATGTGTTTGGCTTCTGAACATATGTTCAATTTCAACATGTTAAGCTTAAGCTTTATTGTTATGCGTTTTGCAATGTCTGGTGCAAAATGATGATAATGCGCAAACACAATCTTCAACTCCTGCTTCAAAAGTAAAATACTTTTAATGAAAAAGCGACCCCTGCATTTCCATTTTGTGACCGATATATTTTTCATGGATGTAGCCTGTACATCTTATGCGTTGTCTCCTGAATCACGCCGAATTCATTTCGTTCAGGTGTGAAGAGACTAATCCAATTGTTTGTTGTATTTGTCCCGCGTTTCTGTAAGTCTAGCGCGCGTAAATCGATAAAAATTAACAGTTCAATATTTCTGTTAACGGCTGTACCCACGGACTCCGCGGATTTTGCTTTGCCTTTTGGATTATACTGATTTTTCGGGAGTATGCTGTCACAAGTGTTTTCACTGTGTGTATTGTGCATCAATAGGTTTCCTTTGGTGCATTTGTTCATCTGTGCAAGTTTGGTGGATGTTTTCTGGGTAGTTTCGAAGAACTCACTATTTGGCCCAACTGCAGTCTGTGTCCGCTACACTGCATTTGTTTTACCGCAATCCAAACTGCGTCAGTCAGACCACCAGTTTGCCTCACAGCGTTTGAATTCAGCCAACTATTGTCGAGGTTGCAACCATTTACCTCCGCAGAACTGATACTTATTATGGCGCGCACTGCTTACCCACGAAAAACTAAGCCTAAATCTTCCGAAACAAACGTTAGTTGTGGCGCAGAGAGCTATATGAAACTTGTGCGATTTAAACAAATAAATAAATAAAGTTTTTATTTTTGACAAACCGAGGCACGCCTTTACAGGAATGCTCGTGTTAAGATAACAAAGTGTAGACAAAATTGTTCAAAAATACCTGTTTTCTACGTCAGTGAATATATGTAATTGTGTATGTAGGTAGCTATGTAGTTCATGATTGTATGTGTGCCCCGGCATTTTGATTGTTTATTATCGTCAGGAATGTGAGGATAAACGTTTGATGTTCGTGGGTTAGATATCATTATCTGGATGTCCACCGGGCAGTGATTTTATTTAGTGGCGAGTCACATTCGCACGTTGCAGTGTTGATAAGCAGATAACTGTGACTTTTTATAGGGAGAATGCTTGCCAAGCGAAAACCCACCACGTCCTGAAACACGTCACCGAACTATTTGTTGGAACGGGTAGAACCCGAAACACTCAGGTGACACCAAGATGAGGTTGTTCAGCTAGCCAGTCAGAACTTGTCGACAATAATTTCTTCCTCGATATACTCGTCTTAGTCTCAGCCAAATAAAAAAATAATAGCACGACTGATTCCCTCGGGTTCTGCACTGCCATATGTACAACTGTTTTGGATCAGACGTACAATAGGCCGACATTGATTGTAGAGCAAGCAGCAGCCGTGAAAGCTGTCCCACAGGAGCAGACAAATTAGTCCCTCGAACTCGATGCTCATAATCAAGCTCCAATTCAAAGCAGTATATCCAGACGAAAATAAGAGGAATTTTCCAGAGTTAGCCACCGCAACACTAGCGGTGGTCATAAAGATGCGTTGGCCACCCATTCTTCAACATAATCACTCGCCACACTGAACACTGTTAAAGGCCCGGCAACATACGCGTCCCTTGTTACTACCCATATGACAGAGGCACCTCCCATCGTAACCCGTCCGCTGCCAAACGAGTTAATATTACCAACACCAACACGGGACTCAAGACCCCATCAGCTGTCCAAGCACAAAAGCAGCCACTACACCCTCCACAAAGGAGAACAAAAGACAACACAATGATTCTCTGATTGTTATATGCTCTGATGTGATTGAATCTTGGGCGAACTATATAAAAAGTAAGCTAATAGACGACTAAAAACCGTGGAACTCTGTGTCAACTAATAGGGTTTCAAGACAAACCAGTCAATATGGTGCGCCTCGTTCGTCACCCAAACTCCGTACGGTACGGTGAGCCGCGGTCCCACCAGGTAACAATACAGTCAGGTAATGTTGCAATGGCAGTTCTCTTGTCAGCCACTCGCTTCCATACTACCACACGCGCTGTTCAAAGTTTTCCCATATGTTCCCTACAGCGAACGAAAGAATGGCAAACAAAACTCAAATGACTTCCGTAAACAACAGGACGTAATATCTATTCTCCATACCTTAAAAGGGCTAGAGGTCAAAGCGCATGACTGGGATGAATGGCGTTTTATTCGTGAAGTGTTGTCATCCAAAAATGTTTTCGCTAAATCGATATCAAGGTTACCACTGTCACCAAACTACAAAAAGTGTGGTCCCCTATTGATGAAAGTATCATTACACTCCGAACCGATGACAGAACATGTGATCAAAATGTGGCACAAAAAGAGTAAAATGCTGCCACCCGAAATACGTATGAAGGCGATAGGCACAGTCTCACAGATAGATTAGGTAACACTGCGCAGGCAATTTGCCAAGCAATTCCGTCACCGTGTATCTCAGAACGGAGACAATACCAAAACACGCCGGCAGCTGAAGGAAGAGAGGTGGGCCACCCTCTTGCTGGCGCTGTAAGCTCCATACAACAACTTGAACTGGTCCTAGGGCCTGTGTCATCAGTCCTATAAAAAAGTGGCAGGCAGCTGACCCCGCACGGATCGGCATAGCCCATCACCGGAAATCAGCATCCACAAAGACGCTTCTAGCCACCTATTCCCTCACCTGCTAGTATAACAATGCATAATATCTCAGTAAGTTTCCCCAACTTCGTCTTCTTCAGCTCCCTATGTCTTTGGACCTAGTTATGGTCACCGAAACATGGTTGAGTAGGGAGATCATGGATGCTGAGATTGCACTACCCGGCATGACTTCCATACGAAACGATTGACCTAGCAGAGAATTAATGCTTCTGTATTATCGATCCGGCCTGTGCGTTGATATCATTCAGAACCCAGAAACCAAAGTCGTCGATTCTCTTTTGTGTCACATACACCTAAGACGTGGTGATATGTGCTTACTAGCAACAGTTTGCCGCCCTCCTTCGTCCAACTTGGAAATGGATCAATGCCTAGGATCTACGATAAAACGAGTCCTGACACCACTACAAAGTCAGGTCCGTCTAGTGGGGGAATACAAAATGCATACAATCGACATACCAGCACTGCATAGTGCACAATTCAGTGCTAACTCTCAGAAGTGATTGCCGATATCCCTGTGTACAACTATGTTACCTCTCCCACTCGATTACGACAGTTGAGGTACAATCGATTTTGGACTGTGCAGACGAACGAGGAACTAATAGTTGACGCCGTGACCATAGATGCACCAGTTGGCCGTAGCCATCACGCGATGTTGCTCTTTCCTTACATCTGTTACTCGGAGTACGTCAATGAGAACAACTTGGAAATATATGTCGTTACACATTACGAAATCCTGTCAAAGCTAGTTCAAGAAACCGACAGATCCTTCTTGGCCGAGAAGCTGCCAGATGTCGCTTGGATGTCACCCGATTCACCGAGATAGTGAAAATGCGTCAGAAAGCAAAGTCTTTCGCGCGAAGTGAGTGAAATTGTTCCGGAGGAGCCCTACTATAAAATACATGGACTTAAGTGACTCAGCCTTTCGCGCTTACAAAGTATGTCCTAGTAACTTGATCTAGGGTGCTTACACAACTCAGGGCAATCACTTACCCAGGTTGCGTCACGAAGACAAACACTAACACCAGCAGAACTTAGTCGCGAAAATTAGTAAAATCCTAAGTTGCTGTATAGACACGTCAACAAGCTGCGCAGAGTGCAGCGCGGGATCCACGTTTTTGTGCAACAGATGGTCTGGTGTACATTACACAAGATGCGGCCAATGTGTCTCCGTAACGCATCATTCACAACTTCCAGAGGGAAGTATAATTTTACCTGATTTTGAGAAAGTGCCCATTGCCACCAGGATTAAACCACGTATCAATCACAGCAGCCAATATGATGGAAAGGCAAATGACATTGCGTGTACACAGCTTACCTGGCGTGGACGACATCCAAACGAAGGCATAGCAGACAGCGGCCATAAACCATGCCAAAACATTAGCTCGGGTCTCTCAACGTCGTCTGGAAGGAATTTAGGTTCCCGCAATTTGAAAACA